GAGAGGCTGAGACAGGAGGACTACTTTAAGCTAGGTGTTAAGACTGGCCTGGGCAACATGGGGAGACCCCATATCTATAAGATTTTGAAAATGAGCTGAGCATGGTGGCATATGCCTGTGGACCCAGCTACTCAGTAGACTGAAGCAGGAAGTTTTCAATAGCCCAGGAATTTGAGGTTGCAGTGAGCTATGATGATGCCACTGTACTCTAGTCTAGGCAAGAGAGCAAGATTCTGCCTCAAAAAAAAAAAAAAAAAAAGTTTGTTATCTATTCTTCCCTGTGGCTATAACCTTCTGGGCTGCCAATCACCACCGCAAAAAAAAAAAAAAAAAAGTTTGTTATCTATTCTTCCCTGTGGCTATAACCTTCTGGGCTGCAGATCACCACTGCAAAAAAAAAAAAAAGTATGAACAATAGAAGATTCCAGATATTCCACATTACTCATAACCTTTGTCTGAGGGATACCTCGAAGACTCAACAGTACAGTGTTATGGGATGAACTGGGTCTTCTCCCAAAGACTTATTGAACCCATAACTCTATGGTACTTCAGGATATAACCTCATTTGGGGAATGGAGTCATTGCAGTTGTAATTTGCTAAGTCTTGCTCTCTTGTGGACCCTTACTCCCACATGACTTTTTTACTTATAAGAAAAAAGAAAATTGGACACAGACAGAGAGGGGGAATAGCCAATTAAAGGCAGGAATGATGGTGGCAGATATACTGCCACTACCCAGGGAATGCATGAGCCTACTGGATTGGATGCTGGACGGGCCAAGGCTGGATACTCCCCTAGTGGCTTTGACAGAGTGTGGCCTCGCCCACACCTTGATTGTGCACTTTTAACCCACATAACTATAAGACAATAAATTGCTGTTGTTTTGAGTGATTTGGTTTGTGGTATTTTGCTATGGCAACCCTAGGAAACAAACAATACACAGCCTCTCAAGTTCCTTAATCTTCTTGCTTTCTGACCTTGAGACTCATTTTCCCAATTATGATTTTGCAGAACTAACCCTTAAACTTAAGACTCCACTAATTTTTCTGGCTCTCAGTTTGTATTTCCTTTCATAACCATGATCAATGGTATCATGCCAATGAATTTATAAAACACAGGCTTCCTAGTATTGGTCCATACCACTTTGCAATTGACAACGGTTAAATTCCAGGAATTTTGCAAGCCAATTGCTAAATGCAGTCATTATTTTAAAAATTACATTGAGTAATATTTAAAGTATGTCAACAAAAATAAACGTCATAAATAACCCCAAATCACCACTTTCTAATTATTTGAGTACACATTATTGCTAACTATGCTATTGAGGTTAATTTTATGTTTTATCTGTTTGATGGAATCACTATATAATGCCGAACTCACACTGGCAGCTTGATATGGGCCTGGTGGAAATATTTGCAGCATGAAAATTGTTAAAAGCTACGAATCGGTTGTTTTTATATGTTCAGAGAGTTAGTTGTAAACATTTACCAGCACAGTATGGAAATACCCTATAAAGTCAATTCTACAAGCCAAACTGGGGTGGCTACAGAGGAGCAGACCAGAGTTAGATGAAAAGATCTTTGTTCTGGGCCTTTCGTTATACCTTTTAGTAGGCATTTGGAGCTCAAGAAAGTAGGAAAAAGCAAATAAAAGGCTGTATTACAAATAATAAAGCAGAGAGATTTGACCAGGATTGTGAAGAGGGGATAAGGAAGACTTAGATGCTAGTGACCTACTTTTACTATTGTCTACTAAATCTCCCAGGGAAGTATTTAGCTCTGATTATAAATATTACCTAGATTTAAATCAGAGTACTATTTGAAGGTTCTGTGATCCTTACAGAGAGACATTTCAGATAGAAAAATAGATGACTCAATAGACAGATATAGAAATATAGCAATATATATTGTATACACATACACAAGTTGTTTAAGATGGTAATAAGTAGATTATTTCACTCAGTAAAACCAACACAAGCCAGTTACGAAGTTACAGGTTAATTAAATGACTCCATAAACCAGCAAAATAAAGCCTTAGTCGCTTTAGCAAGTATATAATAATTCCTCTATATATGTGTAAGGTCAACATTCTTTAGCTTTGTTATAACTTCCTTGCTATGCATATAAACAGAACAAAAATATTTATAGAAATAGCAACTCTCCATATTTAAAACAAAGATTAAAAGAACCTAGTACTCATTAAATGGTTACTTCCTAAAATTCTTAAGAGTAATTTGAGGCCATTGGCTGCTTGATACTATTCTGCATTGTGGGAATGGAGTCTCAGGTTAGAGACTCTGCCCTAGACCCTGACCTCTGTGCCAGCAAGAGTTGGGAATGCTGCAAACTTTCAGTCAGTGCCAGAAGAAGGTAGAAGGCCTTTCTTCTAATCACAATGCCGGTAGCAGATTAGGGAGTGGCATTACACACAGTACACCAACTACTGTTGAATCGACCTTTGCTGTAAATTCTGTGTCTCATATTAGGAAGTATTCTAAGGGTGGATGTGTGAAGCACGCAGCATATCAGTCTGTTGTGACTAAGGCAGTATTTCAAAACTCATCATCTGAGTCCAACTATGTTCCTATTTAAATTGCCTATTTTTTTTTTTAATGATAAATAAGAGGCTCCTTTCCTTCCCTGTGAACGCAATCCAACTGGGAAAGAACCTCAGTCTCCACAGTTTAACATCCATTCTTAGATTCCTTGCATATTCTAAATAAAAGGAGGCAAATCTAGCTCATTCATAAGTCAGTCTCAAAAGGAAGCATAAAGTATAAAAAATTATATCACAATACAAACCATACAAAAACTATTTTTATAATTTTACCTTTCAGCATATCAAGCTTGGGAAAATCCCCTGAGTTTCAGTTGTTGACAAATGCATATTCTTCAAAGAAAGGGACGTAGCTGGAGATGGACCAAAAAGATAGAAACGGAGAGGAGAGGATGCTAAAAGTGAAGGCTCAGAAGTTGTTTCCTACCTCAGTTCTCCCATAGTCTCTCTTCTACCTGTGGAACTCACTCCCAGCCTTTATCCTGACCCATTACTGCAGAGTCTTGTCAACCGACCTCTCCAGTCAAGATGCAGAATTCACATATCTGGCTAATAGCAGTTGGCAAAACCTCTCATACGTTTTCTTTAAATTATAGATGAATCTTGAAAGCAAACAGATGAAAATATGTTCAAGATCCAAAGGTTAAGAAAAAAAAGAAAAGTCCTTTATTTTAAAATATTTTAAGAAATGCCCTCAGGTCAGACCACATAAAGCATTAACAATAGGGTTAACACAATTTACAGTATGCCTACTGAAAGTTCTGGGAGTCTAGTACATTCCAAAAATGACCAAAACTTGCATTCAAATGTCTCTATTTTAAAGTAAAATGTCATAAGACATTAAACTAAAAAAAAAAAAAAATTAAAGACTTAGCATATTATAATCATCTTTAAAAGTTTACATTTGTTTATATTTCATTGGAACAAAGCGTTCCTTTATATATATATCACATTTTTACTATTGGAGAAATTTTCTCTGCTGACTTCTTTAAAAAGTAAAAAATAAATTATTTTTTAGTTACCTTTAGCATCAAATAGAACTTTACTATCTACGACTCATAGCTATGTGTTCCATTTTTCCGTATTAGGCTATGATGATTTGACAATAAACCTTTTTTTACTGACCAAAGGAAGCTAGCTATTTACATCTGAAAGCTGCTCTTCTCAGCTAGCCCTATGTGAAACTTTGTGAGAGTTTTTTTTTACAAAACAATTAAAAAAAAAAAAACTGTTCTTGACTGAAACACAAGCCTTCCAAAACTACATGGGCCAATGCAATTCTTATGCCATGAGCTTGTGGTTTTCCAAATTTAGGACAAAGCATGTAGTTTTATCAGCAAGTTCAGATTTAGTCTTGTTCTCCATTGATTCCATAAATGGTGGTTCTGACTTTGAAAAGGGGCACCTGACTTTCTATTTTCTTCATTTCTTTTCAAGAGAAAGAAATAACATAAAAACTTTTGGCACATTGACAAGAGAATTCAACAACTTTTTTCCCTTACGTGAAATATTTCATTCAGAAAGCCTATATTTTCTCTCTTTAGAAGGTTTCATAGATTAGGCTATAATAAAAACAAACTCTGGGACACATTTTCCTACCATCTTACAATTGTAGAACTTGAGTGACATCTCTGGGAATGGAGCCTGAGACGAGGCAAGAACAGAGATACTTTTTTGTTGCAGAAACAGAAGGCGGCATACTTTGAAACATGGACACCAAAACCGATAGTTTACTAGATTGAAATTAATATCCTCTACTGGAAGATTATTGACACACACTTAATGCTGATCCAAACCTATAATCCGTGTAACTCATAGTAACTTACTTATTAGAAGTATTTTAGATTAATAAATTACACGATTTGGGTTTCTTCAAAGAGTTGAAAAATTATAGGGAAGTTATCAAAGACAAAGTTTTCACCAGTTATGCTCAATATTTTTTCTGTAATTAAAGTGCCTCAGCAAATGTCTACTTTTAAAATTGAATATGTCGCAGTGATCGTATAAATTATTCTGGCTGTGTAATTCTGTGCTTGGCTTACAATGGTATACAATAATATTTAGTATTACAAAAGAGTTGTACATCTTTATTAAACTTTTGGATAAATCTTTTTTTGTTGTTAATATAAAATTATCAGGAAAGGATAAAACTAGGATTTTTCCTTTTGATAAGGTAAGGAGGTCGTAAATGACCCCGTCTCTCTAATTTTATAAAGCCATTTTAATGGCGATTTTTTTTTTTTTTTTAACTGAAAAGCGAATACACTAACATTGGTACTCTTAACTAAGGCCAGACATGGGGACTGTGCTACTGCTGCTGCCAGCAGCGTTGTGCAGATTGAGCTGCTCTTCTTGTCTGTGATATACGGTACAAGGGTTGGCCCTGGTTTGGTCCACCTGCCAGAGGAGTTTAAAGTTTCCGAGGCTCCCGGCTCCCAGGAACACAATGATTTGGATCAAACAGCCTAAATGCGAAGAAGGGCATTCCTGCTGCCTCAAGGAAGCCGTTAAACTCCTGCTAAGCTAACTCTGTTTTTATGCGTCTGTGCACAGGACCGAATTCTTCCTTCACTGACCAAAGATTATTTCTGACAATTCAGGATCACTGGAAAGCTGGAGACATATGGCTGGAAAATGAAACGACCCAGGACATCGTTATTTTGTGTCGCCTGCTACCAGATGGGCAGTCCGTGAACGGCGCAGGGATGCGAACCGACAGTTTTATAATGTAAAAACCGCCCCTCCCCCCATAAAGCTAAAACATTTCATTTCTCCCTCTTTGGGTCTAAAGTACTTGCTTTTCCCTCCTCTCTGCAATATCAATTAACTCAACTTTGCGGTGAGGTGGCCAAAAAGAAAGAGAATGAGGCGATCCTGATAATATTAGCAGTGTCGGAGGAGCCGCAGCGGTCGGGGGACTGCGGCCCGTGACCGCCGCGTCCTGCGCGGATTTCAGCGCTGAGACCGCGCTGGCGGTAATGGAGCGGACGGTGCACTCCATCCGCCGAGGATAGAGACCCGGGCGCCGGGAGGGGTCTGCTGATCTCGCGGCAGCCTTCGAGGCCGTGCCTGCCTCACCGCTGCGTTTTATTACCATTTTCACCGTTTTCCAGAAGTCATGGAAGACAGCCTGCTGCCAGACCTCAGGGACATCGAGCTGAAGCTGGGGCGCAAAGTACCCGAGAGCCTAGTGCGCTCGCTCCGTGGGGAGGAGGCGGTTCCCCTGGAAAAGAACAGGGACCCCTGCGGGGGGAGCAGCGGCGACGGCGACGGCGGCGGCGGCTGCAGTAGCAGCAGCAGCGCCTGCAGCTTCCCTCCCTCCCTGTCGTCCTCCTCGTCGTCCTCCCCAACCTCTGGCTCCCCACGACGTAGCCACTCCAGCGCCCTGGAGAGGCTGGAAACCAAGCTTCACCTCCTCAAGCAGGAGATGGTGAGTGTGGGGCGCCAACCGCCAGGGTGGGAGCCGGGCTGGGGCCCCCAAACGTGGCGATTAGAGAATGGGGCTGAAGAAGGAGCGGCAGGGTCTGCAGAGCAGAGTGTCGGGCGCGTGGGAAATGCGGGGTGAGGGACCGCGCAGGGGTGAGCGTCCGGGGACAGCTGCTCCGAGGCTTGTTTACCCTGGACTTTGCTCAGTCACGGTTTGCTACAACAGCAGAGTCTGCTCTGTTCTGTGTACTTTCGGGGAGCGCCCACTCACGGAGCCCGGCTCTGACTTTTTAGCTGCCGGCCCACAGCCTGCCGAGGACCAGCCCGCCATGGGTTTGGTTGCGGTCACTGCACCCATCTGGGGCCTTTTGTGCGCCGTTTACACTTTGGACAGGTTAGAAAGGTGGCTCAGTCCTATCCTCTTGCTGCAAAAATACTTCCTGGTTTGCCAGGAGGTGGCGCGGAGGGGTCCTTGCAGCCCTCCCCGCTGGCTCCCGCTTTCACCAGTCCTGCTCCGCCCTCCTCCCTTCCTCCGTATTTGGTGCGGCAGCTGCAGCTGTTCCAAGGCCAATGTAGAGCAGATCTCCACAGCTGGTCCAGAAAACAATGGCCCACTCGTCCTTGGTCCTTAATGTGCTTACCAGTAGCTGGTTCCTCTGTTTTGATCTCAGGCAGCAGGTGATCACCTGTTCCAGGGATGACCATCTAACATCTCCCTCAGTCCTCAATCTGCATTTGTTTTCGCTGCTGTTTCCAAAGGTTAGGCTAAGCAGAGGGCAATAAGACGGGGTATAGCGTCTAAGAATACTTGTTATTTGGGCAATGAGACAAGTACAATGTCTACAAATACTTGTTAGTCCGGATGTGCTTAGACTAAGACACTTAATTACTTGCCATGAGCTCTTGGGCAAGTCACTTCTCTTCTTTACCTCTCAGAGCATTTGTGTAATGATCTGGTTGGGGAAGATAATTCCTTCTTAAATCCTTTGAAGAAAACAACCCCAAAGCAACAGCATTTTCTTAGAGATAAGGAAAGTTGTATCAGCAGGCCTCCAAAAGAGATAATTCCTTTAAATTATCTCCACAGTTGCTTTGGGCGTGCTTCAGAGTTGGCTAGGAGATTTCTGTCACTCAGAAATTTTTGTCATTCTATGATTTAGTTATCATGAAGTTCTGCCATTAAGTTATTATTCTTTGTTTTCATTTTGAATAAAAATGTAAGGAACACCCTTAGGCATATAATTGAGAAGCTGGAAAGTGGAAGCATCTCCCTTGATGAGTTTATGAAATGGATGAAAAGATAAAATAAGAATATAATTTGGGGCAAAGATTACAAACCAACAGTTTGTAGGTGCCTACACCAGGTGCCTCGTACCATATAACCGATCTCATGTAAGTGTTGAAACAAACAGATAAAACTGAGTATATCTCACAGGAAACACGTGCCTTGCCCACAGAATTAAAAATGGTGCTAACTATGCCAATTAAGCATTTACTAGTAGGGGTAAAGGCATCAGAGAGAGATGAGGAAATTTGATTCCTAACCATGACTTCTGTCATTTTGTCCAGGGGATGTTAATACACTTAATCTAATAAATAAATCTTGTTGGAACACATTGCCTTGCCCTATGGCTCCCAGATTGACAGCAGAGCAGACACATATCACTAGGCTAGAAACTCATAGACACAATTTAGGTTTGAGGCCCCAAATGCCTGGACCTCCCAGTCCATGGCTTGTTAGGAGCCTGGGCCACGGAGCTTCACCTTTCCTATGCTCCAGCCCAACCCCATCAGGAAAAATTGTCTTCCATGAAACTTAGGAATTCGGCTGCATAGCAGGAGGTGAATGGTGGGCAACTGAGGAAGCAGCTTCATCTGCGTTTACAGCTGCTCTGTGCCCCATCCCTCACATCACTGCCTGAGCAGCCACCTCCCTCTATCCTCACTTCACCCTTCTCCCCCACCATCCATGGAAAAAAATTGTTTTCCATGAAACCTGGTGCCAAATGATTGGCACCATTGATTTGGAGGATGTATATAACTGGAAAACGGTAACATTTCAAAAATTAATGAGCCCCACCCTGCCCCCAGTAATGCACATTTGAATGATTGGCACGTATATGAAGAACATTTTCTGATGAAAAAAGAATCACCTCCCATTTAGGTTGCATAATGACATTATCCTGACCAAGAGAAATTTCAAGCTGTATGATGATTTTTAAACTGATGTTCATTTCCATGATATGATAGCATGCATTTGGCCTTCCATGCTAGTGATGAGCCACAATTAAAAGACTTTTGGGTATATTAAGAGTTTAGTTTTTTGAGCCACTACTTCTAGAACTGGGATTCATGGGGAGAGTCTCTACGGTCCCTAAGAATTTGTTACCTTTCTTATTTTTTCTTTGAAGAATATTTCTTTACTTTTCAAATGTTAGCCCTCTAGTTTGATGAAAACTTCACAGGCTTGGGAGCCAGACACAGCGGGCCAGACACGTTTCTGGCAAGTTTAGAGCAGGTCAGGATACAAATCAATCATGTTCAGAAGGCTGTCAGAGTTTCCAGGCTCGGGAGACATTTAGCACATCTTCCCAGGTAGAATGTCCTGTGCAGCTCTCTATGGCCTTCATTCTAGTCTTGACTCTTTGATTTGCTACTGTGTGGCATTGAGCAAGTTATATAACTACCCCAGGACTCAGCTTTCTTGTAAACATACATGTAAAAACATCTCTACTATGGCATTGTAAGAATTCAATGAAATAATATAAGAGAAAGAGCTGTTACCCAGGTATTCAAAAACAGTAAGGATGGAGGCAGCAAAGGGAATTATATAAACGGCACGGCTATTATGTTCATTTTCCACGGGTAGCCCAAGAAGGGCAATGTGGCTGTGGGACGAATCTGGAAGTCCAGGCACCTTCTCTACCAAATTGACTCTATCCTGGCACTTGCTGTGTCATCAGGTCTTTCATAGAAACCACCTCTCTATGCAAAAGCAAAAACCAAATACGTGCAGCTTCCCCAGATTTACTGCAGCTGGAAATCTTGATTTTTATTTTGGTAGCATTCTTTAAGCACATGCTGTGTGCTCAGCATGCTGCTGATTGAAGTAGCATATATTAGAGACTTGTAGACCTGATGTCTGGAATCCTAAAATTCTGAGGAACTGAGACTAGTACAGTAGTCCCTCCTATCTGCAGGGGATACATTCCGAGACCCCCAGAGGATGCCTGAATCTGAGGATAATATTGAAACTTATACATAGGGTACTATGTATTTTTTATTTTCCTATACATAAACACCTATGATAAAGTTTAATTTATAAATTAGGCAGAGTTTAGAGATTAATAACAATAAGAAAAGAGAACAGTAATATAGTGTAATACAAGTTATGTGATTGTGGTCTCACATTCTTTCTGAAAATACTGTAATATTTTTCAACTGTGGTTGACCATACGTAATGGAAATCCTTAAAGCCAAAGTGCTGACAAGGGCAGACTATTGTATTTGGAATTTCCTTACTTATATGAGACTTTTTTTCTTTTTTGAGAGAGAGTCTCCCTCTGTCATCTGTCACCCAATGTAGGATGCAGTGGGGTCATTACAGTTCCCTGCAACCTAAAACTATTGGGCTCAAGCAATCCCTCTACCTCAGCCTCCCAAGTAGCTAGGACTACAGGGAAATCATGCCTGGGCTAATTATTCTATTTTTAGTAGAGATGAGAGGTCTTGATTTTTCTCAGGCTGGTCTTGAGCTCCTGAGTTCAAGTCATCTTCCCTCCTTGGCCTCCCAGAGTGCTAGGATTATAGTTGTGAGCCACTATGCTTATGAGACGCTGGGCTAGTTAAACATTTCACTTGTATTATCCTATTGAAACCTTATAATGTTTTAGCCAAAGGTATTTGTCCAACAATTTTATAAATAAAATATTGAGGTTTATTGAAGTTAATGCTCGAAATGGTATGAGGATGAGGCAGGTCAGAATCTGAGTTTTTGACTACCCTGTGCTGTCTCTTCTTGTGCCTTAGAGTACCTCAGGGCTCACACAGACACCTGAAATTAAATGTACTGTATATATCTGCTCTTGCAGAATTTTAAAACATCAAACGTGTTAAACTGTATTCTTGTTTATCATAAGCCTTCCCAGAAGGAACAAGTACAAAAGACAATCTCTGTGCTAGCAAGGCTCAGGAGTTGAGTGATCATATCCAAATGTCCTGTGGTTTCCAGCAGTTGGACCCTTTCCTTTTTGCCGCTATCAGCAAAGATCTCCATTAGTGCTTCTTCCCACTCCACAGAGCAAGGGCTCAGTAGCAAAGCTCGGTAGCCTTCATGAGTTGGGAGACTCAAGACCTTACCATGGGTAACATTTTCGTTTCTCTAGAGATTCTATTCAGTATAGAACTTGGACCTTAGATAACTCATTAAAAACAAACGAACAAACAAACAAAAAACTAGAGGCTAGGAATCCTGACACCATCTTGTGTTCTTTCAAGCAATACCTTTAAATGGCTGTTTTTTCTAACAAGGAGCTCAATTATTCTGTTTATTTTTTTCCTCTCAAATGATGTCAGGTACACAACACTGTGTCGTGGCTTCCTGCCTATGTGATTGAAAACACACATTGATCCAGATTACGATCAATGTAAACTGCATTTAGAGAATTCACAAGGAAAGACAAGGTTATTTTTTCCAATAGACATTTCAAAAGACTGGATCTTTGCCTTCAAAATAAAATCTGAATAAATAATTCAGTTTTTTTTTAAAAAAAGGACTGGAAGTTGTGCTTGATGTTTATAGACAGCCATGACAATACTATGCTTGTTCCACAGATAAGTAAACTATGACTTACTGAGATGAAGTAACTGGTCAAAGTCACTATCCGTAAAGGGCTTATGATTCCCATTCATTCAAACAAGAACCAAGCTGACCCTGGCTCTCTGCTGCATCCCAATTAATTCCAAACCACACTATATCCCTGCACCATGAAATATGCCTACTTA